GCATCGAGAGAATCCGTAATGTCGCGGCAAACCAGCCAGCCAGTCAGCCAGCCGAGAAGAGGGGTAGAAGGGAGTGTGGGATAGGGAGAGTATAGGAAGCAGGAAGCTTATCCACGTGCCGGTTTTCCCTTCTGCTGGAACATCATCGCCGAGAATGAGATACGCGCAAGCCGGGCCCGCGCCGACGAAAGGAAGGGAAGGGAGAATTTAATTTTCTTCGTAGGAAAACGAAAACAAACCCGGCTGATTTACGATCGGGATCGAAATGTTAAAATATTCGCGTTGTATTTTACGAGGGAGAAACATCGGTAGCCCGGCGGCGGCGGCAGCTACCGGGCGAAATGTTTTCGAGCCTCGGGAAGAGGAACGAGCGACGAGGTTTCAGGTTGGATTAAAATTTTAAATATCGGAGTTACACATCTCGTCCGTTTCGCCCTGGCAAGGTTCAAAGGACGTTTTATAATGCTCTCGCCGTGGACGGGAAGAAGAAGTGCTCGTTAGAAGCAGCGCGGCGAACGTTGTGTAGCCTCGGTTGCACCTGTTCGAGTACTATTAGAGACGGCTTAAAATTTTCACGAGCCTCTCGAGGCCAGTCCTCCTCCTTGCCCTCCTCCGACTCCCACGGTTGCCGAAATCTGCAATTTGGCGGGATCCATCGTAAGCAGGTACTTGGAAAGAAAGTCTACGCCGGAAGAGAATGGAAAAAGAACGAGGCCTTTGCACGCTGAAGAAGGTGGCCAACCACCTTCAGAGTGGGCGACCCGCTTCCAGACGATCCTCATCGTGTTTACATCTACTCCGAAGGAAGCAAAAGTAACGGGGAAAAATGAGGAAAAAAATGGGAAATCGTGGCTTATCAAAGGAAGCTAGATACTCGCTCCCAACCCACCCCCTGAAACCACCCGCTCTTCTGTCAGGCACCGCTCCTCGAGCTATCTTCTCTTCGTCCCTCTCCCCCTCGCGCCCTCTTTCTCTCTCTTTCTCTCTCTCTTGAGACGCGAAGCTGTTTTCGGCAATTGCTAGCGGGTCTTGTCAAAAAGTTGAAAGAGAGAGGCTGTTGAAAAGAGGCACTACGGATTTCTAGCTCGGTCGAGCCACGGAGGATGAGAAAGTCAAGGAGAAAAGAGTGAAGGACGAGAGAAGAAGGGTGAAAAGAGAACGGTTCTGGGGTGGAGGGGGTGGCGGTTGGGGGCGGAGAGAGGAGGAGGAGGAGGAGGACATCTTAAATTTTTTACGAGACCACTCGTGAGCAATGGCAACGGAAGAAGGCAAGCACCATGGACCTAGGAGGCGCTGCACAGCGACCAACAGCAGCAGCAGCAGCAGCAGCAGCAGCAGCATTTCACTGAAGTCTGCAATTTCGCGGATGCATCTTGGCTGGTCCCTGGCTAGAGCAAGAGAACGCGAGGGAAGGGGAGAGGAAGGTCTTTGCCCGCTTTAGAAGAACTCCTAAAGCGCGCCTGCCACCCCTTTCTCCCTTGGTCCACCTTCCCACTCTACTATATTTTGGTACTCTAGAATTTCGTGCTTCCTTCAGTCCTCTGCCCAGCCTTCCCCCCTTCGTCTTCGAACCCTTCACCTCTCGTACACGAAGCCCTCTATCTCTTCTTTTCCCATCCTTTCCTTTTCTTCCCTTCTCTTCTCTTCTACCTATTTCCCTCTCCCTTGTTCTCTTCTTCCCTTCTCTTCTCCGTTGTTCGTCTCTTTTCGTCGAAGAATGGCGAGACGCCGGCCAGACCCTGCGGCCTACCGGAGCAAAAGAGATCGACCCAAAGGTTTGGTCGAAAGAAGACGGTGAACGTGTCGTCCTCTCTCTCTCTCTCTCTCTCTCTCTCTCTCTCTCTCTCTCTCTCTCTCTTCCACTCTCTCTCTCTCTCTCTCTCTCTCTCCCTCACAACCCTCTGTCTCTATCTCTTTCTCTGTCCCTCACCCTGTCTCTCTTCCACGCGAGCTCTGCCTCGCGATCCTCTATGTGTGCTCGAGGGAGAGAACGAGAGAGAGAGACGGATAAACGCATGGTATTGATCCTAAAACCCCTTGCTCCTCATCCCAACCTACCACCTTGCATCCCTTCCATCGCACCGACGAACCCCAAAGTTGCTTTCGGTCTCTCTCTTCCTCCCTCTTTCTTCTCGCTTTCGGCATTTCCCCCTTTTAGCTTCTCGAGCTAGATGACTGGTTCACCGGCTAACGCGCGAATCTCACCGAGCTTAGATGCATGCCTCGTGTGTGATGCAAGTCGACCTTGAACTTGGAATTAGTATCCGACCACACGTACATATATGTATCCGCGTCGTGCGAGCTTTTGTTTCCCGAACTGTTTGCTTTTTCTCCTCGTCGTTTCTCCAGTCGGACGAATAAATTTCCTCTCAAGAAAATAATCGAAATCCAATACACTCTGTGTATATGCGACTTCGCGAGAAGGGGTGAAAAAGGGGGATTTGATAATCGGTGTGTGTCAGATGTAGACCCGTTGGGACTGGGATGCTTGCATTTAAAGCCGTTGGCTCGAGCGTGAAAGGGTAAAAGCTCGTCGTCGTCTACCGGTAGTCCCACCACTCCCACGAATGATCGATACGCATCGAGTAGTGACGCGCGGAAGCGGAGATCGGCTACAGAGAGCGGAGGGACGAAAGAACCGGTAGACGGCGAAGAGAAGAGACAGTGGCCTCGGTGGTCGGCCCTTTACGACCCTCGAACACGCAGAGAGGAGCCGTCCATCTGCCTTGCACCGCGTCATTTGGCACGCTCCAAGGAATATTCGGAGAAACAATGATCCCTGCCGAGTCATCGGGCTTAACAGTACAGGTGCCAAACGGTCGTCGATCGCCGGTGGTTAACGACCGAAGCGATATCGGACAGGGGGGTGGGGCGTGGGGTGTGGAGGGTTTCGAGCCAATATTCGGTAGTTGATTTTCATGAACCGCGACGCGACGGAAACGTTTGATTGTGCGGCGGAACGGTGAACGGAACGGGGAGGAGGGTTGAACGTGAACGAACGATCGGTCACGTTCACCACAAAAGAAGCTCGTTTCCACTCGATGAATCTCGGTATACGAGGTCGTCCCTGGTCGGTTTGCCCCCCCCCCCTGCTCGACGGGGGTACGAGTTTATTCGAGTTTATTCGCCGCCGTGGACCGCGGCGAGGGGATGATGGTAGACTACTTTCAGCGAGGCCGATGAAAGTAAACCACTCGGCAAAGCCGCGCAAAGGAGGCGTCTTCAAAGTTTCCTGTTCGGCCCTCTCGGCGGCGGTTTAACTTAATCGAAGGCTTGCCTGTCCTCTTCTTCTTAACCTTCGAAACGAAAGTTTCTCGACGATGGATTTTCCCAGCTTTTCCGCGGTCCGAGTGCCTCTCGGCCGTTATGAAATGATATTTATATATTTATCAGCAGCTTGCATTCGTTAACAGCGTGCCGCGCGACCTTGTCTTCCGGCGTAGCAGAATTTTGTTGAAGGATCCTTGTTGGTTCCATTGCCGAAGCTATATTCTCAGATATAAATGAATGACCGCTCGGAAAGTAAGTTCGCTGCGGTTCTTGCGCGGTCTCGCAACTTTCCACTCGTGTATCGTGTCCTGTAAAAAAGCTCGGAAAGTACAGTGGCCATTCGAGTGCACGCTTCATAAATTCCGGAACTTTTGCCGAACCGCGGACCATTTAATGCGTCCAAAGTTGGAAACAAAGGGTCGCGTATAGTGGATGGGAGAGGATGTATTAAACCGCGGTCGTGAGCTGGGTCGAAGTTAAGTCGACGAGGCGTCTCGATCGAGTCTGGACCGCGAGTCAGAGCCAAAAAACGACCTCGCCGTTGTTTCCATTTAGGGATGTCATTAGAGACGCCCCCCACCCTCCACCCCCCCTGTAATCCGGGCGCGAAAGGGGATGGAAATAGAGTCAGTCGTCGCTCTATTCGGGGTTCTGGCACCAGGGGGAAGTGGAGGAATCGGGAGAAACCGGGTGGGAAGGGTCGGAAACGACCGAACTGGGGATGGGGTAGGATATTTCGCGGATTTTAATTAATGCGGTTCATCTTTGTTTCTTTCAGACGAGGCAGCCGGTGGTGGTGGAGTCGCGCGTCGTCTGCGAGGAATCGAGGCGTCGACGGTGGCGCGGGAGGAAGCACGTGCCCGTTGAAAGAGAGAAGAGAGACAGACAGATAGACAGCGGGGAATCGCGACGCAAGAGCGAGGAGAAAATGCGACGAATCTCGCCTCGTCATTAAGAGGAGAAGCAGCAGCAGCAGCAGCAGCAGCAGCACCGCACAACCCTTTGTGGGTGCAAACGAGACGCGACGGGGGAAAAAAATCGAACGCGTTTCTGGCAGGCTGCGTGCATCGTCGGCGCCCGACTGCTTTCGGTTACATGGACGTCGACGCGCGATAGTCGATGCAGCTGTGGGTAGTACCGTCGCCTAAAACCGAAACCCAGAGCCTAATCACGTCCAGAATCGACAACGAACTGTACTCTTTTTCAACGAAACTACCGGCCTAATCGATATTAATGGCATAGGGGCAGCATCAGTCTCCGGTATAGAGGCGAGAGGTTATCGTTTTTTTTTTCTCGAGGGGAAAGAAAGTCGGCGACCGTGAGGACGTCCGTTCCACCCCTCAGGCCTCTATCCACCCTATAGGGAATAGACAATAACGGAGGATAGCTACTATTCAGAAGGGGTAAGAACCGTCGGTGGGCTGCACGGTGCATCCGGAAGGGTTGCACGACCTGGAGCAGGAGCAGGAGGAAGAGGAGGTGGCAGGAGGTGAAGCAGGAGGAGGCGGAGAAGGTGGTGGTAGCGCGTTGAAGCTGGAGGAGTTGGGAAGCGACGACGGTGGTTGCGCGTCGTCGTCGCCGCGTGACGTGCGGAAAGAGCAGACGAACCGTGGAGGAGGCATGAGGAGGAGAGAGTGACGACGCTGCCGGTGCTGCAGCCTCGCACAGATCGTGAGAGGACCGGCGGCCCTGACGGTGGGGCTGCTGCGATAAGAATGGCCCCCTTCAATATGGCGGGCGTAGCAGGCCTTCTAGCCACCTGCGCCGCGGCTGCTGCTTCCGCTGCCCACCTTCTGCCGTTGCTGCTGTTGCTGATCTGCCCGCGAGGGACCCACGCGGAACAAGGTAACCCTTTCTCGAGATCGTCTTCTGTCCTCTTCTTTTCTCTACAGCTTCGTTCAAAAACGTACCGCCGACGCTGCCGTTGCACATCGTGTGGACCTAGTAGGATACTTAATTCTCTCTTGTGTTGTTCGAAATGCGAACCGAAAAGTAAGTAGAGGGGATCGCGTCGAAAGGATAGTCCGATGCATGTATATGTATATGCGTATCGGTGTACGACGGCGGTACGGTGGTTGAATCGTCCTGTATCTATAGGTTGCGCTTCGTTCTATCCGAGGATCATCAACCGAGATGATAGTCGTCCATGGACGACACCTCGGGACACGATATACCCGCGCGATTGCAACTTCCTTCTGTATACTTAGCCAGATGCATCGATTAAGTCGTACGCGTGCAACTAGACGTGTAGGTACGTGTGTATATATGTATACCCTTGCCCTTGTCCGTGTCTCTCGGACGATTCCGGATGGAAAGTCTTGTGCCCGATGGACGCGGGCGGGCGGCAGCGAATCGAGTCGTTTGCCGGCGACGTAATTACTAGCCTCGCCGAGAGAGACTAGTTGTTCCTACGCTTCCGAGATACATTCCCTCGATTTTTCCTGGGCGTCGAGAAGAAGAGAGAGACGAGTTCTCTCGATCGATAGATTTGCTCGACACGACTCGCGATCCTTTGCTCGTAAATAACTTAATTAACGTTAGACACATAGACCCGGAGAAACTGCGGGGTTTACCGTTTATCGAAGAGCTCCGGCGCAATTGCCCGCGTCGTCACGCTTCTAAATTTCGCAGCTCGAGAATCGGCGGCTGTTCGGCGAGCGAAATTGCTTCCGAATCGCGAACCGCCAAATCGAAACCGCGTTTCAGAAACGCGATTATCCTCGCCCGATAACACGCAACCGATCCCCGCGATATTGGCCCGTGTATCGTTGAGCTTAGAGCCCGCCGGGGTCTCCGTGTGTTTATCGTCTCCGCGCGAATCGATATGCATCGATATGCACGCCCGGCACGCTCGGTTCCATCGAAGATGCAGGGAATCATGCTCCTCGGAGGGAACTCTGTCGATGTTGGCCAAGACTACATAGAACCCCCCCTCCGTGAACGTACGCGACTTAATCGGTATTCTCGTAGCCTAGTGCGGCGATATTTGCCGAGAACTCGATCTGTACTCTGTCGAATATTTACTCGTCCCGAGAAAGCTCGCCGTGGAGAGAATTTCTCTTGGCGGTGGTTTAGCTGTCTGACTCGTTCCTGATCGTTTCGAGACAGAGGAAATAGAAGGAATGTAAAATATGTATATATTTCTTAGGTATATATGTATATCTATCGGTGTATCGTACGGAAAGGACGCGACGTACACTGATTTTTTAGCATCGACGATTCAGCAGCTTGTTCGTCGGTCGGGTTGCCTCTGTGATCGCTTTTTAACGATCCGACCGCGTGGACGACGGATGTGTCATGGTCTATAACCGCGGGAGAGATTTATTCGAGCCAGGGAAAGAGAGGGGTTGGGGGGGCTTTAGGGTTTGAGCCGAGTGATGCCTCCGGAGATCGTCTCTCGCCGAGCCGCTACCCGGAACGTTTTCCATATTTATGCCGAAAAAAGAGGCTGGCGCCCCGGGGTTCAGGATGAAGGGGTCCCGGGTCTCTGCACCCCTTCATCCCTCTCTTTCGACCGGTTTGAATAACGATAATTTCGTAATGTGGGCCAATCTTCCGAATTGCGGGATCGTTCGAGGTGTGCCGGTAGTTAGTTGCCGCGGCATTAAAAGGGGATCATTTGGACGCGCGCGCGTTTGGAAAGGAAAGGAGTGTGGAGGAGAAGGTGGGTAGCAGCTAGTAGTAGTATGGGTATATACGGACGCCTTCCCGAAATTGACCGGCAAACTCAGCCAGGGCCTGTTTACTCTACGTGAGCCGATTTCTAGATGACGCGGGAGTCTACTCGGTGCCTTTTCGGATACGCGATGCGCATCCCGGGACGCACGATAGTAGTATACACCGGGAACGGCTAAAACGAGCGGCTGACTCTCGTCCGGCCCCGTAGATCCTCATCACGAACACCCGTTACCGTTTTTGAAAGAAAGGACTCTCCTCTCCTGGCAGGTTTTGTTTCTCGAAACAGGTTCGCGCTTACGATCACTCCTGATATTTTCGGGATTTTTCGTCAGAGCGTTGTCCCATCTCGCCTCCCCCGCTCGGATGCCCTGGCCGGTGAGTAATCTCGCGGCAAGTTCCTGTACCGGTTGTACACTCCCCCGGGAGTTTCCTCTCTGTACGTAACGCGTTTAATGGAACTTCCCAAGGATACGCGTTCCTAGTGGACCGTGTCTGCGCAATGGAGACGGCTAACTTCGTTTCCTTCGACCTGCACGGAAACCCGAGCTTCTCGTTACCCTTGCCTATTGGATATCTCGGCTCATGCCTCACTCTCCTCGACTTCTCCCGTTATATCTCTGAATTTCATTCTTCGACCGGATCCCTGAGAGGTCGACTACTCGTATTACCGTATCCGCTGGTGGACTCGTAAACACCGATCCTCTTCGACGATAAACTCTCCGCGGCTAAGCGAATTTGTCGAGCCAACAGTTTTCTAACCGATCCCCCCTTCGGATCGCGTTCTGCCTCTTACGACGTAGACTTTGAAAATTTAAAACCGACCCAGGGAATACGTACCGGAGAAGAAGAATTCCGCTTCGTGGCCGGAGAGTCGATTCGATGCGCAAAATCAATTTCTGTCGACGGTCTGGATGCGAGCGAACTAGTAGGTGCGGGTGGTGTACGTATGTATTTGGTTCCTTTTCCATCGTAACCAGGGCTGATTCTTCGGAGGGTTCGATCGAACGCAATAACACGCTGCCCGAAACTCGATTACTTTCTGGGGCGGCGAGCAAGCTACTATTTGAACCGCCATGGTTCGTTCGGTACGTGGACTCGCTTAGAGCTCGATTACCCTGCGCTTCCATCCTCGAATCTCTCCTTTCCAAGAATTCCCTTTAACCGTGGACCGTAACGAGACTCCCGAGGAACCCCTAATACAATTTCGAGCGACCAGTGGCTACGTCGGTATGTCGGGAGACGTCGATCAAGCAGACTCAGGGCCAGAAGTCGGGAACCGTGTTTAGGAGTTTTAGCATACCTACGCGCTCGTCCGTCGATTCTTCTATCAATTGTAATTTCTCTCTCTCTTCGTGTCTCGCGACATTGTACCAAGTGACAGATCCGGCGACCTGGTGATACCAGGAAGATCTCGGAATAGAGGAAATCGACGGAAACCGCGTCGTCGCGGTCGGGGGTCCAGCGAACGGTGAGACCGCGAGATATCGGTAAGAGCGGGAGTTGGAGCAAGAGCAACGGCAGGCAGGCAGGCAAGAAGGCATAGTCTCGGGAGCAGGTCGTGCGCAGGGAGACGCAGAGGCAGTTCTCTCTCGAGCAAACTCGATTACCTCCACGAAAAGGCAGAAAGACTCGTTCGGAGCTCTCCGGTCGCCGCGGCTTCGCTCCTTCCATCTTACCACGGATCCCGTCCTTCTCTGGCATTCCCCTCGGCCCCGGTTGGGCGCTTCTCTCTCTTCTTTCGTCCCTGCCGGCTGTATCCTCGTTTCTCTCGCTTATTCTTAGTCTACGGGGCCACGGTGAGTAAGAGACGCGGCAACGCCGCAGGAAAAAAAAAGGGTCCAGGGCCCCGATCGTACGAAGCCTGGCAGCATCCTATCGAGGCTGACAAGGACGGACTGAAACTTGCCCCCTGCCGGTTGAGCGACGAAGAGCTAGCCGGTCGGTCGGCTGGCTGGTCGACCAGCCAGCCAGCAAGAACGCCGGAAAGAGAAAGCAAGACGGAGAGAGCAGCAACAGCAGCCACACGGGCCCTGTCTGGTGCGTGCTGCTTCTGCTGCTGCTGTTGCTGCTGCTGCTGCTGCCGCACGGCTCGCCACTGCGACGTGTTTGCGTGCGCTCCGCTGCTGTCTCTTCTCACGGGAGAACGTCGTCGTACGTGTGCCCGTTCGTGAGTTCGTGTCCTTTTGTACGCGCCTACGGGCGCCCGATGAGACCCAAGCGTGTGCACCAATGGTGAACACGACCGTTCGCTCGCTCGCTTTCCGTTTTCCCGTTCGGTGGATTCCACAAACGCCCAGGTGTGTGCGTGTCCAAAGCTAGCGCGTTTCAGCATGGAAAAGATCGCACGGACGAATGTAGGGTACTCTCTCATTGATCGAGAGAAGAGTACGTGGCTTGCGTTGGAACAAACGAGAAGAACAGAGAGTATCCCCCGAGCAATCCGCGTGTTTCGCCCGATAGAGACTATTCACAAACGTCCGCAGGAATTTTCGAAGCGGTACCAACCTTTCGGTGCCCGAGGTACAGTTACCTTAATCCCAGAACGGATTGATTGTATTTTATAGAGTGATCGACTTTTTCGCCGTTCTGTGACCCAGGCTTTTTCGACGCGTTTCGCAGTTTCAAACTTAGACGAGTCCCCTTCTCCCCCTTACCGCGATATTTCCCATTTCGCGTGTCATCCGTCGGGGTCGATTTAAATTTTTTCGATATGCCTCAGCCGCCGTGATGCAATATTCGTTTCTCGCCTCCTCGGCAAACCGGGTCGTTCCACAAAGGTGCGGTATAACTGGCTCGATTAAAAATCAATATTTCCCCAGCGTGTGGAAACGATCGCCCGATGGCTGGGGCCGACCAGCCGGAACGGACATAACCGCGTGCTTGCTTCGCTTTTAATGCCAATCTTATTCGGTTTCGGGGCAATAGCCGTCAGCTTCCGCCGCAGACGCGCCCCCGCTAGTCGTGCAGTCGACAAAATGGGGGAATAGGTATATTAGTCGTCATCGATGGTCCCTTTGCGCGCGGTTGGATCAGAGTCGTTGTCCCCGCGACAACTCGATTGCATCGGGGACAAATGGGATCCTTTGGGCTCGCTGGGAAACGTCGAAAAGAGAAGCCCAAACGGGGAACACATTTCGGGTTGTCATCGTCGATCCAACGCAACAACG